GGGGGCACACAGAGGATTTGGGGGAGGTTGTGGGGGGCTTCTGGGGGGCACAGGGTGGATTTGGGGGGCACAAGGGGGGTCCCCAAGCCCCCCCCCCCCAGCCGTGTCCCGGTTCAGATCCACTGCCCAGTTTGGACTGGGGGGGCTCCTGGCCCAGTTTGGACTGGGGGTCTCCTGGCCCAGTTTGGACTGGGGGGGCTCCTGGCCCAGTTTGGACTGGGAGGGGGGTCCCCAAGCCCCCCCCCTCCAGCCGTGTCCCGGTTCAGATCCACTGCCCAGTTTGGACTGGGGGGTCTCCTGGCCCAGTTTGGACTGGGGGGGCTCCTGGCCCAGTTTGGACTGGGAGGGGGCTCCTCCAGGCCCAGTTTGGACTGAGGGGGCTCCTCCAGGCCCAGTTTGGACTGGGGGGGCTCCTCCAGGCCCAGTTTGGACTGGGGGTCTCCTGGCCCAGTTTGGACTGGGAGGGGGCTCCCCCTGGCCCAGTTTGGACTGGGAGGGGGCTCCCCCAGGCCCAGTTTGGACTGGGAGGGGGCTCCCCCTGGCCCAGTTTGGACTGAGGGGGCTCCTCCTGGCCCAGTTTGGACTGGGGGGGCTCCTCCAGGCCCAGTTTGGACTGGGGGTCTCCTGGCCCAGTTTGGACTGGGAGGGGGCTCCCCCAGGCCCAGTTTGGACTGGGAGGGGGCTCCCCCTGGCCCAGTTTGGACTGGGGGTCTCCTGGCCCAGTTTGGACTGGGGGGGCTCCCCCTGGCCCACGACCCCTCAGGGCCATTTTGGTGCCTCAGAGCCCCCCTTTGGCTGCACTTTGGGGGTCTCTGCGCCCCCCCAGCTCCATTTGGGGGTCCCAACCCCCCTCCAGCTGTTTTTATTTTTGGGGGGCGGGGGTCTCACGGGCTGTCCCCCCCACCCCTTCCCCAGACAGAGCTACGACATCAGCATCGTGGCCCAGGTGGACCAGACGGGCTCCAAATCCTCCAACCTCCTGGACCTGAAAAACCCTTTCTTCAGGTAAGGGCCAAGCTGGGGATTTGTGTGGGGACCCCCAGGACCCTCCCCCACCCCCCAAAAACCCTGACGCCCCCTCCCCACCCCCAGGTACACGGGCACGACCCCCTCGCCGCCCCCCGGCTCCCACTACACGTCGCCGTCGGAGAACATGTGGAGCACGGGCAGCACCTACAACATGAGCACGGGCATGGCCGTGGCCGGTGGGTCTGGGGGGGTTCTGGGGGGGTTTTGGGGGGTCTGGGGGGGTCACCCCTCGGGTTTGGGGGGGCTCTGACCCCCTCCCACCCTTGTCCCCACGCAGGGATGCCGGCGGCCTACGACCTGAGCAGCGTCATCGCCGGGGGCTCCAACGTGGGGCACAACAACCTGATCCCCCTGGGTGAGGGTGGGGGGCTCACAG